GGTGAGCAGCGGGCTAGCAGCGGTGATGACGGCCGAGGCGTGGTGGGGCAGGCGGCTGAGCACGTCCACGATGAGCCGCATCTGCTGTCGTTCTTTGGTGCTCACCCACTCTGCGTTAGTCACCAGGTCCAAGTCAGCTGGCAGGTTCACATTACTCAGGATCTGCGTGCGGAGGAGATGGTGAGCCTCTGTCCGCAGCTGGCCACCGACTGCTCCCGACCCTCAGACTGCGCCCCTGCTCCAGGGACCTCTCTTCTGTCTGACGAGTTCACCCGTACTGCCTCCCGAGCCCTCTGCCAAAAAGCGCTCAGATCTGGGCACCAGGGGCTGAATCCCTCCCTGACACCCCATTAGGTTTCCCTACCAATTCTGCTCTAGAGCGACTCTGCAGCGGGCTAGGGACGAGCGCTGGGGACACAAGAGAGGGGACTTAGCCAGGGTCAGAGCGCGGGTAGGGGCGCGAAAGGAGAGCGCACCTTATGACTGCTGTCGCGCAGGCCGCCTGTGTTATTGAGGAAGATGATTTTGGTGGGCTGCAGCGCTTTGGCCAGCGACGCGGTGACCTCCAGCGAGTCGAGAAGCACCGAGCGGCGCGCGGCGGTCTCCCCGATAGGACACAGGATGGGGATGCTGCCCGACTCCAGGCACCACTGCAGCAGGTCCGTCTCCACCGAGACGATGCCGCCGTAGCTGTGGGCCAGACGTGGTGCTCGAGAGGGCACTGCAGGCCCATTGGGCAGGACAGGGGAATAGCGCGCTGGGGGGAAGCCGGAGCGGGCACTAACCTGGCATGAGGAGCTGGCTCAGCAGCGCCCAACACCGACCCGCCGCCAAAGAAAGGCACGGCAGTGGCACGGCAGTGGCGGCGTTGTGGCGCAGCGCGTCCACCAGCGCCTTGCAGCTCTGAGCAAGCTGTGCCTTGGCCTCCCAGAAGGAAAGGCAGCCCCAGGCTGCCGTGGGGGCGGGCAGCCCCAAGACCACTAGCGGCTTCATGTCCATGCGCTGCAGGAAGGCCAGGGCAAAAGCCAGGCTGGAGACAGCCCGCCGGCACTGGAGCACCTCTTCGTCCACCTGCGGAGGAGTGGGCTTCAGGGGTCTGCCTCGCACAGCCTGGTGCTCAGGCCCTCGGCAACCCCAGCTGCGCGGCAGGCTGCCGTGGGGGCGGGCAGCCCCAAGACCACTAGCGGCTTCATGTCCATGCGCTGCAGGAAGGCCAGGGCAAAAGCCAGGCTGGAGACAGCCCGCCGGCACTGGAGCACCTCTTCGTCCACCTGCGGAGGAGTGGGCTTCAGGGGTCTGCCTCGCACAGCCTGGTGCTCAGGCCCTCGGCAACCCCAGCTGCGCGGGATCTGGTTGGCTCCACTCTGGCCACCAGCGCCCACCTGCTCCGCCCTTTGCCCGTTGGGCCTCGCCACTCCCTTATCTCACCCCAGCGTTCCTCCCCAGCTCCTCCCTGCGACCTTGGACTTGGAGACACCTTGGGGGAAGGGAGATGCAGGTGGCTACTGTCCAGGTCGCCGCTCGGCTCGCCGTCTGAACCCCTAATTGCACCCTCGGTGGGGGACCTTCAGATCAATACTTAGAGGGTCTGAGGCCTCTCACGGGCTGGGAGTACCCTGCGGAAGAGC